CCTGTGCTTCTCTTCTGTTCTCCCCTGCACTTCTGCTTTTATTTGTAACTCCCTCAATGAATTGACTCGGCAGGTTTTAAAGCATTTTAGGCAACGTGTAAGAGGATGTATGGTCTAAATTCCTCCCAACACCGAAAAAAGGGTGCAGTGCTCTGCTATTGGCTTGTAGTAGTCGTAAAGCGTTATTAGGACGCCCCGTGTTTATATTTTAGAGGACATAGAGAGCACCAGGTGCCATTTTCTTTTCCGTAAATGAGCCAAAGAGTCTCTTAGTTTCACAGATTATTTCGGGAGGTACAGGGGACCAAATAATTGCACTCTGAAGAATGTTTGCTTTCTTTTCTTCTGTCTGTACCTCTCCTGTTCTTCCTAGTAGCGTTGTTCCTCTCCTTTTCCTGCTCCCTCCATTTTTGCTTTGGTGTTTGTTTTTGCTTTTTCGGTTCAAAAAATTGTGGTATTTTCAGGAACAATGAAGCCATTTTGAATGTCGCCGCATGGCCCCCACTGGTCTCGCACGTGGTTCTTGTTCAGCAGGCGTTTGTGTGCTACCCTTACCTGCTCCTGATGAGGGGTTAAAGGTGAAAATGGACTATTTATTTTTGTCCTGTTTTAGGAATGCTGCCCGTAGCTGTTTCGTGACAGCTGACGGGTTTGAGTTCACTGTTCATTCAGATAATAAAACCGACTGATGTTACATAACGAGGAGGACTATTTTATCAGTTAATTGTTTGGCAACGCAAGAAATGTTCTTGCAGAAATATGCTTGTCTTTTTTTTTTTTCAACAACATGTTTTTCTTCCATTTGTTAATAATGGTTATGTATTGTTTGAAGCTGACTTTTTGTTCCTCTTTCCAACCACTGTTTTATTTGGTGCTCCAAAGAACTGTTTTTTTCTTTTTAAAACGGTATGTTTTAAATATGATGGATGTGAGTTACCCCACAATTCAGTGCACTTATGATGGAATCCCTTGCATACAAGCCCTGTTTTTTTTTTTTTTTCAATATTCCTCTTTCTTCATTTCACTCATTAGCCCATAATGTCAACCACTTCACAGGTCTTTCATGCACCAGCTCAAGGAATGTAATGGAGATGTTTTATTTAAGAGAGGGGTACCGTTATTTGTTATGTGTTTATGTATATATGAGCAGTTTTGAGGGTGACTGGTATATTCTCTCATTCCAATGCCCTGGCCTGATATGGCAACTAAATTTAGTTAAGCCCTTAACCCAGCTTCCTCTGCTGAGCTACCACCTTTTACTCCGTATTTTTATGCAGCCCTCAACTTAATAGGGGCACTGTAAGTGATTTTCCCCTCTATCTAAAATTTTGAGCCTTGGTAAGTTGCATATAAAGACAAGCGTATAATTTTGAGGGGGGGGTGGTGCTGTAAAAACAGAGCTGGATGCTGTATTTGCTGTACCAGACATGTGACCTTTATTCTAGGCACCCAAAATAATTAAGGCCTGTATCATGCAAAAAGTTGTTCTTTCAGTTTGAAAAACATAATTTGGTTATAGATGATTTGAATGATGGGCCAGGATAAGAAACCCAGTGGACCTTTCAAGATTTGTTGATATTTTATAGGATTTTGAGACTTGCAAATAGATTTGGGTTGGGTTCAGTGCTGTTGTAAGGTATTTGTACATATAGCTTTCTTTTTCTTAGTTTTTTCTCCTTTGTAATGAGTGAACATTATTGTGTTTGTATTTTCAGTTGGCTAAGCAATATTCTGCTATAGCCAAAATTATTTTGTTTGTCAATTGGGGACATGTTTTTAATTAGGTGAGTTTTTTTTTTTTTTTTACCCCTTCCCATGATTGTTTGTTTATTTGTAGAAATGGCAAAAAGAGAAATTTGTACTACAGATTTGAAACATTTGGACGTTTTCTATAGCAAGAGATGTTATATCCCTGCAATTTACAATATGAGCAAATAAACCTTCTCTTAAACAGTGTTTGTGTTCTCTCTCTCTCTGTGTGTGTGTGTGTGCGTGTGCGTGTGCGTGTGTGTACATCATTTATATATAATTTATTAGAAATTAAATACTTACGTAATTGTTTTATTTATGTGACTGCGTCGCCACATGTATATGTGTAGGTAAATTCATATCTCAATGTGAGTGTGTGTGTATGTATTTATGTTTACTGTATATGAGATTGGACCGAATTCAAGGCAGCTCAATCGATGTGTCATCTAAGATCGGTAATAGGCTAGTGATGTCTAACCGGAGCCAAAATGGCAGCGTTGTTTTATTTCCAAGCATCATCTGTACTCAAACGACTTATTCAACCAGGCATCTAATAATTTTTGTAACATAATATTTACGTTATTTTCATATGTACATTCGTTTTGAGGATGTTTGTTGTATGTGGTCAGAGAGCAGCGGGTCCGTGAATGACAAGACCCGGGCCGTTCAGTCTTGGTGAGTAGAGATACAATTTAAACAAGAGCGCAACAAATATGCTTTTCTGCGCGCGGCGTCAGCTACTACTTTGTGACACGTTTTCCTGCGTTTTTTTTAAACAATGTTTCCCAAACCCGCCCATATGGAAAGTTATATCATAGAGAAGACAGGGCAGTGCCACAGTCGTGCCTGTCAACTATGTTTACAATGAATGACAGTGTGTATATATGTGTATTCAATAGTTTTATTAGGTTTAAATATTTACTGGAAATCGTTTATATTATTTGCTGTTTTGCTGAATAATTGCTTTTCCCGCCCATGTTCACAGTATTCCCGTTATGTATCCGCTTGCTGAACATGATAAATAATTTGTAAACATCACAGGCATGTTAGAAAATGGACCTTATAGCCTAGAAAATGCATTTGAGTTTTAAGAACAAACATTGAGTTTATAACAGAATTCACAATACGAACAAATGGCTGTTTAAATTGTTTACAGTTGTTTACTAATTATTTTGATATGCTGAATCTCTTTTTTATATATATTAAAAAAGCATACTTTTATCTTTAGGTAGTAGGATGATGATACTATGTTGTCACATATGACTATGATGTAATGTGCCTTTGTTTGTATTTGTGTTTTTCAGTGTTTTCCGCCTCTTTCAGCATTGTCACAATGAGAGCTCTCCTACAATAGTTGTTGCAAATGAAAATGGAGGATATGTCTCTGTCAGGCCTGGATAACACCAAGCTTGAGGTAAAGGGTTGCAGATAATGAGTTTAATTTCTGAAACATACAGAACAGTATACGGTATATCTGCTTTATTGTTCTTGAAAATGTTGTGTTTACGAAAGAATTGTGTTATGCATGCTCATCACTAAAATTCACATGGTCTGGGACAATTTTTTTATGGGTGGGCCTCTTTTATCCCAGGCCCAATAACTAGCCTGTATCATAGACAAATAAGATGCATTATGATAAGTTTAACACATATGATTTAATTTCTCTGCCTTTGTTGTAGGCCTTGGCTCATGATGTTTACTCTGACCTAGTGGAAGATGCCTGTTTAGGGCTGTGCTTTGAGGTGCACAGGGCGGTCAAACAGGGCTATTTCTTCCTGGACGAAACGGACCAAGAAAGTATGAAGGATTTCGGTGAGTCAGTCATAAAAATAAACACATTAATTTTTTCTAAAGCCTGGGTTGCATGCTTTTACAATGTGTCTCTACTTTATGTTCCCTCTGATGTAGAAATAGTGGACCAACCTGGTGTGGACATCTTTGGGCAGGTGTACAACCAGTGGAAGAATAAGGAGTGTGTGTGTCCCAACTGCAGCCGGAGTATTGCGGCCTCTCGCTTTGCTCCTCATCTGGAGAAGTGTCTCGGCATGGGCCGCAACAGCAGCCGAATAGCCAACCGCAGGTCAGCGGGCTGTGAGCTCACACCATTTAACTCATTATTCTGTGAAGGGAATGCTTAAAGCAACAGTTGACCAAAATGATTTACTCATCCTAATGTCTGAGCTTTGTTGTTTTACTTCAGTGTTTTTAGTCTATTGCCATGTACTGGTGGGAAAATTTGTTGGGGGTGACACATTTCTAACAATCATTATTTTCCAAAGATTGCACTTTCAGCCAGATAGAGAGATTTTATTGATCCCTGAGGGAAAATTCTAGTGACGTTTCAAAGCATTGATTGTTCTGCTCTTTCTACAGAATAGCCAGCAGCAACAACACAAGCAAGTCAGAAAGCGATCAGGAAGACAATGATGATATCAATGACAATGACTGGTCCTATGGTTCAGAAAAGAAAGGTGAGCTGATCCAGTCTGTCTGTTTCTCTCTTTTCCTCTTACTTCCTACACCACTATTTGTCTCTAAATGTTGCACTTTATTAATGATAACAGTTAATCTCTTATTTTCACAGCCAAGAAGAGAAAGTCAGAAAAGGTATAAAACTGTTATCAGATATGAACTTGTTGAAAATGCAAGCCAAATATTCTAAATTAAAATAAATTGAAAATAATATTTAAAAATAAATCTGTGTGTTTTAGAATCCAAACTCTCCCAGGAGATCCAAATCCCTGAAGCACAAGAACGGTGGGTTTTATTCTGACTGAATCTAGCTTTCAGGAGTTGTTTAAAGGTAGTGCAGTGCATGACAGACAGCAGGTTTCACTTGAATGTGTTGTGAGTCTTTTTGTGTCTTGTCGCTCTGCAGGAGAGCTCAGCAGTAATGTCAATCCAGACCTATACAAGGTGAGATGATTAATTATTTTAATATGTATAACACTGGTTCTTGCTTTCACTGTTGCATTTGTTACTGTAGTATTACGGCGATTGTTGTTTCACTCTCTCACTCATTCACTCTTGCAGTATAACTACAGCTCTGGCATCAGTTATGAGACTTTGGGACCTGAGGAGCTGCGCTCCATACTGACTACGG